CAGGTTATAGTTTTTTTTTTTATTCATTTCCGTCAAGACTTCTTGAACCTATTTGTTTTTCTAACATTCACAAATATTAGTAAAGGCGTTGAATTAGATAGGACATTTATGTAAAGAATATATATATATTTATATATAAAAGTATTAACACGATCAAAAAAAAAATCTGTACGGAAATGTAAATTGAAATTCAATAAAATCCAGAACAAAAAAAAAAGTTCACGTTGGATTAAAGCAAAACTGAAACCTTATTCAAAAAATCCTATAAGAATCTCGTAGGAAACGCGTGACTAAATTACAGGATAGCACGCGCTTTAGACGAGTCAGAGGAAATAAAAGAGTCAATAAGATTGAATGAGTTAGAAAAATTCCTCCGAGACTCCGTTCCTAAGGAGAGATTTAGTGAAGGCGCGCAAGGGCTTCAGTAAATCTTTTACTTACTTCCATCATGCTGAAGTAAAAAAGCTTTTTTTTTAATATTTATTTATTTTTTTGGCATTTTCAGGTATAGAGAAACCACGAATACCGAAGCGAATCTATGTTTAAAAATGTCTTCCAAAAAGCAGTCTCTATATTAAAACTAGATTAAAAAAATCAACATCTACACATCGGGATTTCTGTCCAATAAGAAGGATTCTCTATATTAAAACTTTACTAAACACTTCAAAGTTCCAGAAACGTTTTTATTGACACGCCAAACAAAATTAAGTTTAAAACAGCAATGTTTTAAAAAAATCTGTCATAAGGCTTCCCACAGTCTAATATCTTCCCCCGTTGGCCACGCGATTGGATACGGTTGCGGTAATAACACGCGATATTCTGTTGGTACAGCCACCACGTGGTTTCTGTCTCCTAGGATACCCCACGACTCGTGAAAAAATGCGATAAAATTTGTTATTGGATTTGGTAATAACTTTCTTGTATGAAACGCGATTTTTTGTTAGAAATACGATGTGCTAAGCTTGAAGAATTTAATATCATTTTTATGTTTTTTAATACGTGTATTTACTGTTCGGCTTGTTTCACCGTAATAGATTTAGTGATATGTTGTCCAAATAATGTTATACACCTTACTGAATGTGTTTTCAAGTCAGTTGGGGGGGGGGGGGGTCCTTTCGGCGGTTTTTTTGTAGTTAATCACAAAATTA